CTACGCGATTAAATCTGACCACTGGGGGCGCTATAGCGTATGTGTCTGTTATTGCGTATATGTGTCCTAAAAATACCACACAACACCACACGGGACCACACGAATGCAAAAATGAATAAAATATTACCACACAAGAGTAGTAAATGGCTTGATAATAAATAGAAACCAACTTTTATAGTGATAGTTGTCCAAATTATGGTAAAAATCAATTTTTGTAACAGGTTTTTGCCGCCGTGCTTCAGAATGTAATGCGTTGATTTTGAGTATCTCAAAGGCACTGATGTCTGCAGAAACGCGTTCAACCATGACCTTTTAAATAGGCCTACTTCACTATGTACGTTACATTTTATTGAGAGACTATTATTTTAAAATAATCAAGGTGCACCACATAAAGGCTATGAAGCTTTGAAATTGTAATAAAAAGGAAAAATAGTATTTGTTGTTAAAAGTACTACTTTATTATGTTATAAGTAATACAAAATTGTACAATTTATTATGTTATCATCATCACATATGCGGGGACTCAGAATCCTTTTCTTATGTGAGGCGTGAGCATTGGCTGTATGAGTAGCTTCTACAAAGTTTTCCAAAAGAACAGGCATCATGATAAATTTAGGCAGGCATTATTGAAGTTAAGCCGAGATCCGGCGCTACAGGTTCCTGTGTACAGTACTTAGCCTACATAGTTTTTGCATACACTAGGCCATTCTTTCAACAGGACTCGCCGTTACCATTGGGAATACAATATTTGCCCTGTTGGTTTGCTCAAGTGTTCCTCCTGTGATTGAACTTTTGTTCTTTGATAGGTTTTTTTTATACAGACAACCCAACAAGAACAATTTTAATATGGATACTAAAGAAAAAATTAAACGCACAAAAAGAAGTAGCAAACAATAGATCAGATTATGCTGAGCAGATTAAGTCTGATTTATTAGTGGAACGGCCTCATATCATCATCAGTACTTCAGTGTATAGTAGTAGGGGATACATTCCTTAGGGCACATAGAAAAAATTATTAGATTATCACTCTTTTTTCTTAAAAAATTGATGAGGGAGGGGTGGGTTTTTTAAAATTTTTTTTAATCGGATCCAATTGATTATTTCGCTACTGTTTATATTTGGTCTGTAATAGAAAATATTGTATAAAAACTGGTTTAATTTTATGGTTTTTTTAATAATGAAAATGTATTTGAAGTCACAAAATTGCATTGTTATTTTTATGCTGTTGAAATAATTGATGCGGCAAAAAAAATTTTTTTTTTATTCCCACAACAATATTTCCCGAATTTTTGACGTGCTAATAAATTTTTCTATTTGTCCTTAATTATTTTCCTGATTTCCTATTTTAGTATTATGGTAGTAATTTTCTGGAAGAGAAACAAGTATTCATACATAATTATGCACTCGCGCTAATGTTAAAGTTCCTTTAGCTAATGGCTAAAGGTTCTTAATTCGTATAGCCAAATTATAAATGCTTTAGCCAAATTTAAATACCAATGAAAATTTGCAAAAAAGGTTCTGTACATGAAGTCAATGAATGTCTTGCTTCCTATATCTTATTTATGTGTAACCCATCGTAAAGATTGTAAGAAATGAATGAATGAATGAATAACAACAACCAAAACACAACTGATATAAAATTCAATTGCTGATAAACTTGATTCTTTTATTTTTTTCTCGTATTTTGATAGTAGTTTTTCTAAACACAACAATACATTCTTTGTCGTCACAATGACACTTGCTGATGGTTGTAAACAACAGGCAGTGCCTCCTAAACTCTGCCCACCTTGGCTGGTCAATTTTTTTAGTGGGATAGTGTGCAAACATGTGCTTCGGTTGTGATGACGTCAGATCGGCCAAAGTTTCATAGTGCAGGACAGGAACAAGCTCAAGTGTAACCGATAAAGTGTTAATTAAGCAGATTTATTAAGCAAATAATCCTCATGGTTGTATTTGGAGTCAAATTTAAATAAATCTAACCAATTTATATTTCATTCGCTACAAATTTCTTCTGAACTTAAATTAGCAAGATGCTTTGAAAGTGTCTTAAAGGTTAAGAGAATGAGTGAGGTAATTTACACTAATGAATCTAATGACGTCCAAATCCGAAGTAAACATCTAATAATTAACGTCTCCGCAATGTACACCCATCGAAGGCTATACTGTATTGTTTTACTGATACGGTACATGTCAGCTTCGCAACAGCTGTTCGTTGAACAACAACTCTAGGCTGGCGGTAACCCACCCTGCAGCACCACAAAAGAACCAAGTTATTCATGCGCGCCGGTACCACAAAAGACACTGTCACGTTTAAGCAAAGATAAGACCATTGTTGTATGCGCACATTTATGTTGCCGAGTGGAGAATTCACTGTAGGCGATCACCCCTGCCTTACTTTACGGGTACTTGCCCATACTTGTGGGAATTCCTTTGCTTACCATCAAATTTTACACGTGTAAGAAAAACTTAATTTCCCACTGGCGTGAGAAAAAGGGACAGGTTCATCGCCTTCGAATTCGAGTTTTATAAAACTTAATGTACCATAAACTAGCATGCATTTAAAAGTAGTACAGCATATATGTTTTATAATCAGTCGTAAAATCAACTCATAGAGAAAATAGAACTTTCTCTATGATCACCCCTTCCTTACTTTTCCGGTACTTCCCCATACTCGTGAGAATTCCTTTGCTTACCATCGAATTTTACACGTGTGAGAAAAACTTAATTTCCCACGAGCGTGAGAAAAAGAGACAGGTCCATCGCCTCTGAATTAGAGTTTCATTAAGCTGAACATGTTTTATAATCAGTCATAAAATCGCCGATATTTTTACTGTTTGCTATATATTGTGTCCTTGAAAGTTGGAAAATTTGACATTGAATGTCCTGGAATTGTCCTGGAAATTTGCTTGTTTAAAAATGTATGAACCCTGAATAATTCATACTCAATTCAGCCATTTTCTGCAACTTGAGAGTATGCATTTTACCGGAAGAATTGATTAATACACCTCAATTTAAGTCATCATGATGCTATTAAAAGTTAAAAAAAATTGTTTTTGTTTTTATAAGACCACCCAAAAAAACATAAACATCCTACCCACCCACCGCCTCTCCATTTCTCCCCACAACATGACCCACGAATATCTACATTACCCCACACAGTGCCGGTGATAAGTCCCATCACGCTGGTCACGCAGATACCCATCAACAGAAGAATAAGAATAGTAGTAGTAATATAGTATCAAAAAGTGTAAATCGATTGTAATGTGCACAAGCTACGCCTGAACAGTTTGCAGAATGTCTGCACATTTTAAAACTGTGGAACAGTCTCCCAGCACAGTTTCCGAACTGTGAAGAATCTTGCGGAGTTTTCAAATTGTGTAAAGAAATCCTTGCACCGTTTGTGCCAAATCAAACCGTGGTGATAACTTGAGCCCATGCGGACTTAGGCCTCAAACCAACTTCACCAAAATTGAATACTGTAGTTCACCTGGTGAGAATTAAACTCGCTGTCAATTTAAGTGTGTTATACTAGACTGCAGGGGCCTGATGGTGTACTAATTCAGTCCTTTTAACAACTAATAAATGCCCTCACAAAGTGGGGCAGAGGTAAACTAGAGCACACTCTAGAGGTCACAACTGGCATTATAATGAAGTAATATGAGCCATGCCATCCCAAACCAGCGCATGTTAAACGCTAGTAATAGCAAGAATGTGGCAGTATTGCATACTGCAGATTAGAGTCGTGTGGGGAGCGTTCATTCATGGTTGCTGCTCCTAAATTATGGAATACTCTACCTTCATGTATTCGTGAGTCGCCATCCGTCTCTTTGTTTAAATCTCATTTAAAAACTCACTTATTTCGTTCTCTTTGATTTTCCCCTTTTCCATCCCTTGCCAGCTAGCTTTGTTGTAGTTCTATCAGGATAGGAGGCGCCTAAGTCCTGGGATGGCCGAGACTCAACTGTTGCTGGACAGGGTACATTTTGATAGATCCCTGCTCAGCGACGAGGGCGTATTCCCATACTGCAGTTTGGGTGCTGGCTTGAATTTTCTTTTTTAGTTCCTATGCATGTAATGCAATAGGAACTATTGTAATCACTCTCACATTTCTTTTGTTTTTTATTGTGTGTAGTATGTGTGTGCGTATATGTGTAGACATTTATGCAAATGCGCATGCGTCAAAGAAAAGTTTTCCGACATTTTGTTTTACATCGCGATGCGAAGTTCGATGTGGATTTTCTGCAGACTTCAGTCAGGGCTCACGCTAACCGATCGACAAGTCGGCTTGCATGAAACTATTTTGGTTTTACGGCAAAAAAAATCAACTGCTGTGGCATAGGTATTTGAAGAAGGCCTAAAATAAAACAAAAAGGTTTTAATACTTGCTGAAATACATCGTTTTTTTCATTTAGATCTCCATTTTTCACTAACTCCATGCGACATTTTTTTTCTGTCGTATGAGTATTCAAAAATAAAGTATATATATACGTGTATACGTATATATACTGTATATACGTGTATATATACCGTAGGTGTATACGTGTATATATATGTGTATATGTATATGTGTATATGTATATATATATATATATATATATATATACACGTATATATATATAGGGCCTGTATACTTTTTAAGTCATGTATCATGCATAGGAACGTTGATGCCTGCAAGGCTCTGGTTTTATTTTCCAGTTACATCTGCTCACTTGTTCTGCGCATAGAGACTCGTATTTTGCGCAATATAAATGAATAACCTTTAACCTTTACAGTACAGAGAAGCTGTAATACTTTTAATTTTGGCAATTGTAAGTCAATTTCAGTAAATCAGACATTATTTTAAAGCTTATATTGTAGAAAATATGAATATATTATTAATTATTATTATTATTCAACTTCCATTTCAAAAATTAAGTTTTAGACAACCTTTGATAATACTTATAAAGTACAATCGCTATGAAATTTATTTCCTTCAAAGTTTATATTTCTCTCAAACATAGGCTTGTCAGGACCCAAAATCTAAACCCCCTTTCTTGTCTGAGAAAGCATTAGAAGCATGTGTGAAGAAGATTGTCAACAGGTTTCCAACAACAGATATGAGCAATGATCATGTAAGTTTTAATCTTGTTTTTGTAGTAGTTTTTGTTATGAATTCTTTAATGTAATAATGGATTCTGAAAAGGTGTCAATAGTTCTCAACCAGCAAGTACAAAAAAATAGGAAAATATAAGGCATGGCTAGACTTTTTTGGAATTGAAGATTGTATAACAACTAACAGTAAAGTTAATATGAGGGAAGAGATTTTTAGAAGCCTTTTTTTGTTCATAACTGGTATTCTACTGTATGTCACACACCTTAGAAGAAACCGCTTAAACAGACCGATTTCAGATACTGTAGGCACTTTATATAGCAACTCAGACATATAGAAAATATCAATAATTCTAGATTTATATAGCATGTCATGTTGAAACAACCTCAAGGTGCATCAAAATGCAGTTACCAGTATATTGAATGTTACAACAAGAGTGCACAATTACCACAAAAAAACAAAAAAAAATGTCACACTTTGAAAATCTGTCAGATTTTTTTTACAAATGATAACAAAGGCTTGGCTAGAATCTGAAAATTACAACATAAAGTATTATGGTTAGAAATGCTTTTTTTATGTTTTTAATTCCCAGTATTAATGCTTGTTATGTCTGATTTTCCACAGGGCCAGTTGAATGCTATTGATCATAGGAAAGGAGATATAATGAAGGTTCTTTCGATTTATTACTTAACTTTCAGAGATATCCTTGACTACAAGGTAAGTCTTTTCACTATTATTATATTTAATGGGAGTTATATAGCGCACATATCCAGAAAATTGCTCAAGGTGCGTTTTTTCCCGTTGTCAGTGGATCCAGAATAAATCAACACAGCCTCCTCTGCACCCTCGAAAGTATTAAGCTATGTTACGACGATCACTACTATCTGATGCAAGTTAATGAGAAATCCAGTCAAGGTTGCATCACATTCTATCGTATGTCTACACGAGAGTTACACGGATAGTTATAGCACTTATACACTGATAAGTTGAAGATTGAAGTGATTTCTATTGATCTCATGATGTTTCAATAAACGACAAGACAGAAATTACATTAGTTATATGCTAGGCCGATTGCAATGGCGAGGGCCTTCCTGGGCTTAGGACTGCTTTGGTAGGCCATCCCAACTATCGATAAATAAAAGGCATTTATTACGTTTAACAAATAATTGTTTCATCTTCACCTGGTAGAGCATTCTGTAAAAGTGCAATAGCTTTTAAACCGAGCTATCTACCACATGTACAAAAATGTTGTTCTTGCTAGAATGTGTGAATTGCAGTGGCTAAAGATAAGGCTACCGTATTAGCTGTAATCTCAGAATCATGTATCTTGCCCGCATTCGCTGTATCACGTTCAGCTGTACCTTTAGCCATAATGAACAAACTACCACGGTATGACACGAACATTTATATGAATTTTACATAGAACGGTAGCAATAGAAATTTATTCTGTAATGTTTTATTTGGATTTCCATTGACAATTATAATATAAAAAAAAACAACTAAAAAAGGTAATTTTAAAGATGCCTTGGTTAATATTATTAACCAACTAGGCCTAGAATTGTCGTGAAAACGAGACTGTACTGTAGTCAAGCTACAGATGTTATTGCAATCAACATGTGGTAAGCCAATTCATAAGCGGGGTGGCCTGATGTTCCTTCGGATGGGAGCCTTGCCAATCTGGTCACTTGTCGGTGTTGGCTTGCAGGTTGAAGCGCGTGTTTTCTATCAGGAGATCCCATTCATACTGTACGGTTGGTGTCAACCTCAAAACAAGTGCTTGTTCGGTAACTACAATATCACTGACGGAACTAGTCTTAAGTTATGTGTGTAGTCACTATTATTAATTTAATTCTGAATCTTTCACCTCCTACCATTTACCAATTCATACTCCTGGTTGAAGGGAGACAAATGCAGATAAAGTGTCTTTGTCAAGAATACAAACAGTGTGACGAGCATCTATCTCGAACCATAACCCCCAAACTGAATGCCTTACACACTGCGCCACACGGTTTGCTCAAAACCCTACCTACAGAAAACTTCTTTGGAAAATATATTGGGGATTAAAACTAAGTCACACTTGGGGCCCGTTCGAGCAAAAAACGCCAACCATATTCCGTTTATTTCACCGGGTAATCGCGCTGAGCACTCAGCGGGTGGTCGACCGTTCGAGCAAGTTTTAGCTCACGGTAAATAACTACTCCGGAAGAAAAACTTATCCCATGGTCAACAACCCATTCTTTGTTTCTTGCTACTGCTGCTATTAACCGGCCCACGTACACACAGTGCGGCACGGTGGAACGATAATGTAGCTCAATAATTTATAATGGCTGCTTTAAAATCTGTAGCCTACGTAGGCTAGTTTATTCAAGTTTATTTCTCCGAATAATGGTAAATCTACAAATCAATCGCGTAGCTTAGCTATATGCTACTAAATTTAGACTTCGTCGTGCATTTGTGAGGAGGCGAAGGAGAGCTGCAACCACGCCTGGGCCGTAACCTATTGAATTTGGCGCTAGGCTGTGGGACTTTTGGAAAAACAATTAAGGTTGATTTATCATCGCCTCCGGCTCCATGGTCATTCCATACACGGTATTCTACCCAGAAATTTGGTGGTCAAAATTGTCGTGGATAATCCAGATGGAAAGGTAATTAGACTAGTGTCCGAGCGGTTTTAGAAAGTGTGTACCGGTAAATTAACTGGTGAATCGCATGGATATTTTTTCGCTCGAACGGGCCCTTAGTACTATTTTGTGCCTACTTTGTACAATGTAAATTTTGATGATCATGTATACAACCTTAATTGTATTAATTACTTATTGAGTAATTTGTGAATAAGATGTATTTTTGATAGTTTTGTACTGTTGTTTGTAATATACATGTAGGCCAATATTTTAATATTTTTATTGGTTGAACAAACGATTTCAGCCTACAAGATACCTGTTTTGGTGTTTTTATGCCTTGAATGAATGAATAAAAAAAAAATAAATATAACTGATGAATGATAATTGTTTAGATAGCACATTAGCAATTTTGCATACTCACTAATGTATTCGAGTGAGGCATTTATTCCTAATGTGACTCTGGAGGGGGTGTTTATTTGAGGGGACACGTATTTGAATAAATGCGGTATCAATATTCCAGTGTATTACTGGGAGTTCCATCATCTAAATGTTCTGTATGTTAATAAACTTGTCTGATGGTAGAATGTGGAAACTTTAATGAGATTTAATTTTTATTAATTTTTTTCTCATTGACAGATTTCCTTAGAAATGTTGCAATTGACTGCTAATATAAAAGTCTACGTCAAGCATACAGGAAAAAAAACTATTTTATATATACGTCTGTTAGTTGATGAGGATATTGCTAAAAGCAAATATTCATTAACATAAAGTCTGATTATATAGTAATTCAAGTGTAATTATATTTTGTACTTTAGGACCATGTAGCTGAGTTGTTGGTGATAATTGATGCCTGTAGTGTGCGCTTTGATATTGTAAGTTGACTTTAATGTTGTATACAGGATTAAGATGCGTCTGAACAGGAGAGAGCTATAGAGATCTTACTTCTCAACCAGCCTACTGCAAAACATTTTGTTTTACAAAGTGTATCTTGTAACTAATACTTGTTAAAGTTCATTCTTTAAAAGTATTCAAACAATCTCGCCAAGACAGCCCATTAATTATCTATAAAAAATTTAATTATTGCCGTAGAAATGTTTAGACAATTGTAATGCCCTAAAATGTATGCTTACTACAAATATTTTAAAACGCCCTCAAGTTTGTCAAGTAATGGGACATCAGATTCAATGTTGTCCATTTGATTTGCATTAAATTTCAATCTTGATATAATAAAGTTATTTGAATCTGGTGTGTGAAGCTGGTCCACAGATACACTATCAGGGTTTAATATTGTATTGTTTTCAGTAAACTGCCAGTTCACAAATTAAATCTGTTTTGACTGGTTTTGACTGTTTTTGTACATGTATTTTAATTTTTCTCTTCCAATGAATAACCAGATTATAAACTACATACGCCCATATGCAATACTTTACAAGACTACATTATATCTGTTTTTTTCTATTGAAGATGTTTTTGGTTTCTATTGTAATGCTGCTGTATTTTTGTAATCATTTCAATGTTCTTGATGTGATATTGTAATTAATTGCATTGCTTCTCCGTGATCGGGATTTGACATAGGCTTTTAAATGTTTTGTATCCTTTATTTCATACTGTATTTTTATTGGATAAAGCAATTTTATATACATTTGTTCTTCTATAGACAACCAATTTTGATTTAACAAAAGGGTACCTGGATATGGTTTGCACCTACATCTCAATAATGATCCTCCTAGCTAGGGTGGAGGACCGTAAAGCTATGCTGGGGCTCTACAACCAGGCTTTCTACCTATCCAATAACAAAGTGTAGGTTATCTTTTTACTTTTTTTTGCTACATTGTATTTGTAGTACCCATTTCACCTTGACAAATATTTATCAAAATATAATAATAATACAGTATAATAATTATCTCTATTTTAAACAAGCAAAACATGTTTCAACAAAAGGTGTTCTTCTACAAGTCTCTATAGAAAAGCACCGAAAAAAATTATCAATGTAAAATTAACAGTGGTAAATATTAATAAATTTACATTGATCTTATACAATATCTTTTATGTTTATTCTGAATTTTCAGAGAACCTAATTTTCATCGTCTTGGTAAACTGATTGTAGATTTTGAGCAGCCTACCAGGCAATTGCTAGAAGAATTCACACCGCACACAAAGGTTTCATGTTGTATTAATTTTCACATATTGTCTTTGAAATTCAAAATTATTGTTATTATTATTACTGTTTATTTTTAGTTCTTTGTATACAAAATACATGCCTGTAGAATACCGTATATTTTTTAATGTAAGATGAGGCTTAAAATATTAAATTACCATTGAAAAATAGGGAGTTGTCTTATACGCACAACATAAAAAATGTTTGATTTAAGTATGGTCACCATGTACGCTTTACGAGCCAAAGATGAATGCCATACAAGACGGTTGTTTAAATTTAAAAGTTTTAATTAAAGCTCTTAATGCTGGTACAATGAAATCCATCAACTTTACCAATCCTACACCTTGCGCTTATATGGCATTTTGAAGGCTAAATGCAGGCTTGATCCCAGTGTATCGTATGGAAGGAGGAATTCCCACTCTAAAATGAGGAGTCGTTTTATACATCCGGCATACAAAAATTGTCCAAAAATTCTTCTTAATCCGGAGTCGTCTCCAGATGAGTTGGCACTCAAATTTGCTAGTTAGGCCTCACAAAATCTTTGTTTTAGAAAAAGATGATTTTTCTATTTTAAAAGTAAAATAAATATAAAGCTAATAATTATGTTCCTTTAACCCATATTTAGAACTGTAAATTGTGAGTAGATTTAAATCACAAGCTGCGATGTACATAAAAAGCTGTCAGTAGCAAATTTCAGGCAGTTTTTTATGCTTGAGCATGAGATGAACTGTTTATTTTATTTTTTGTTAAACTGAAATGCAATTATATATTTGGAAATCCTACTGTAGAATTGAACATATCTAAATCCCATATATTTGGATTGTAGCATTTTCAATTTCTGATAATATGGAGTGGAATTAATAACAGAGTGAAGCGTTTCTACTTAAAAATTACTCAGAATTTAAGCAGTGAGCTTTACTCTCGTCAGTACAGTACCAGTAGTTATTATGAATGCATAGTTTTATACTATATTCTGTTAATGTTTATACTTTGTTTTTGAAGTGCCTCAGCTTTGCATTGTTCTCCCTTCAACAAATCTACCCACGTCGAAACCTCGGTGCTGATCAATGGCGGGCGCAGGAGATGCTCAGTATCATTACAAAGCCTGCTGTTATGCTGAACCCAGCACAGAGTGATACAGTAAGTCATATTTGCAGTTCACTACAATAAAATGCCAGCTGGATTTTATTGCATATAGCCAAAAAAAGATTCAAATTTTGGTGAAGTAATCTCATCAAATTATTATATTGTAGTGTGCTGTGTAATAAAGATTTAAGAATTTCATATTCTCAAATAAGAACAGAATACAATGCTTCAAGTGCACTTGTGTGATGCAATTTTTTGATCTAAACACAAACCTTGAATATGTAAGTTTAAATAGGAACTATACTAATGTGGCTCATTTCCTGATGCATGTTGATCAAATAAATAGCAATTTAACTTGTTTATTGTTGCCTTATTCTCTTTGTACTTCTACATCAGGAAGAGCCACGTCTTGTGGCCAATAGAAATAGTACAACCTCCATAGATTTATATGGGTTTTATAAAAGACAGGTGGGCTAATTTTTCATGAATTTGCATAATGCTGAATGACCTGCATTTGGCCTTGTTCCAAAAAGTATCTAATATATTGCATGTCGACATATTAACTTCTCAAAAATGATTGTTTTGCAAAATGTCTGAAATATTAACAAGTAAATTACTAATAAAATCAAGAGCAAAAATGCATGTAAAACTCGAGCTGTCGAGTGCCTAAATACTCAATGATACGCAGGTTTGTTATGGGTGATTCTATTTTCTTTTATGTTCAAGGAAAAAAATTTATCATCCTTGACCTTAACCTTGTTTTTCCTAAAATTAAATCACCTCTTAGGTTATTATGTACCATTCCACCAATTTTATGGTGATTCATTTCTTAGTTTTTTTTTAATCTTGGTAACAGACTAACAGACATACAGTGGTGAATACATAACCTCCTTAGTGGAGGTAATAATGATTTGGTCTAATATCATGCTGATTAGAAGAAGTACAAAACAAATATAGTATTGGATTAAATTCCAAATCATTCCATTATTTAAAAAGTTAGTGGTGATTATTGGCCATTCGACTAAATAGAAGGAGGTTTACAACTACTGTAGTGTAATCCAAGCTCTGAAGTTTTATTAAAGAGAGATTTATAAATTCTTGACTTGAAAATGCATGATATAAGTAATTTTGTTACTTCCTCATGTTTTCATGCATCTTACCAAGGGGAAAGGCAAACAAATCTCCTTCTCATATTAGTCTAGCCAATCTGTGACAAAATTGTAATGAACCTAGAACTAATTGCAACAGAGATAATTTTTGCAAAATTTGTTCCTGAAATATTCACATAATAACATACTAAAAGTCCAAAAAAATCCAACCAGTTGAAGAGAGTTAATTTTAAAGATATTTAATGAGTTAACATCCAACGATTTATTTTGTCACATCCTACTAATTCTGCGTTGGAGCGTATAAAAGCCTATTGTTGCTAACAACAAAAAATTAAAGCATAATGGACACCCACGGTTGGTAACACAAAGATCATTGTACGCAGCTGCTGTCCAGTATCCTGCATAGGGATAATGAATATCATTAAATAAAAAATATGTTAGGTTTAATACCAGTAACAGATACTAACTGTGTAGTAATGTTCTGGGTCATACTCAATGGTGGCGCCAGAATTTCCCGACGAGGAGATGCCCCAAACGACAGCAAATTGGGTGTGGTGGGCGTCGCTCAAAATCTTTTGGAAGTAGTCCAGGAGCGTGCAAATCACCCGAAAAATATGAAAATTTAGGTGTGTCAAAGGCTTATTTAGTCGATTTTAGAGTCTACTAATAGTAATATGTATGTAGAAAATACATATAAGTATTTTCTCCCAGACAAATTCTGACTTTTCTGGTCATACTGCAGGGGGAAGACAAGATATTAAAAAGCTTTCATTATAAAATTTGGAATAAAAATATATAAAATAAAAGTACAAGATGAAACGATGATGCATTTAAGACAAAAGTAGGCCTACCAACACAAAACTATTTAATTTTGGCGATACAACACAGATACGATCGTGGTACAAACATTTACTATTAGACCTACCTACTTCAATATATTAGGTCTACCGAATGATTACAAAGACATAATTACAAAGTGTCAAAATAGTAACATTGATATCTTTTGAAATAGTTTTGAACATTTTGATCGCTCATTTTAGAATGTATCCTGGTGTTGTCTTTGTCACTATGTTCAGTTTCTTGATTTTATATTCATGGTAGAGTAGGGGTTAGTTATGAATGTATTTTTCGATTGTCTTGCTTGTATTTCTGTATATTTTGAGATTATTGTATTAAATTTTAAGAACAGTGCACAAAACTTTGCATTGATCATTGTGGTACCGACGCGTCTGGTCTTATTCGACTGCATTCGCGCGTGGGCAACTATCTTATTTTAATTTTTTTTTTTTTTTTTGGAACAACAGGCTTTCCTACACTTCAGTGCAGCAGCTGGGCAATATGGCACAATAAACCATTGGATATTAACTCATTAAATATCTTTAAAAGTAACAATGTTCCCCTGATTGGATTTTTTCCTACTTTTAGTATGTTATTTTATGTATATTTCTGAAACAGATTCGGCAAATATTATTACTGTTGCAATTAGTTCTAGGTCAAACCACAGATAGACTGGACTAAATGCCTATTCATGGATTGAGTGGAATGAAAATGTTAAAAATAGAACGATAGTAAAATATACATGTGAATGACATGATTCTTCATTGATTGGTGTTTATGCATTTTATGTTATGGTGAGTGAGATCATATAAAGAAGTTTTTTGTATCATAGCTTGCTTCCCATGATAAATACAGTCAACTTCTATGTCTACTGTGCTTAAGTAAAAAATGAATCAATGTCAAATTATTTTCCATGCCACTTTATTTTTCTTATCCTAATTATGATAAATCAAAGTATAATAAAGTTGATAATTGCCACTTCTACCTCAGGTAAATAATCACTACATTACATTTCCCACACACTTGGACCTCAGTAAGCAATCCTACATTTTTAGTACTGTTTGCCATTTGTTATGCACTCTAAAACAGTCCTGGATACACAGGGTACTGCGATAGGCATGCATCTACCTGTCACTGAAGTTAGTCATCACAACCGTAGTTCACTGATCCAGTGGTTGTGGATCCTAAGATCCATTGCAGGATGTACACTAATAAACAAACATAAAAAGAATCACAGTTGGTTTCAATGTAGGGAATATTTTATTTAACATTCAGGTTGTGAATGAAATTCATGAATTTAAGTGTAACTTTATACTCACAGTTCTTGAATTCCTATTCCAACAAATTTTTATTTTCTATTTCCAATTCTTATTTATTTGCTGTAGGCTAGGTTCAGTGTCAGTGTTGTGTTATTTATTGTGATTGTATGTACAGTAATCATGTTTTCATGGTCAATCGCAATTTGGCTGAAAAGCTACAAAAACAATATTTTTGAATAAAACTTAGCACATATGTGACAAAAATAATAAAAAATGTAATAATTATTTTAATTTAATAAAAGTCAGACTTATTACTAATCATTCTTTTAAATCAAACAATTTATCAATGCCACTTTGTATTTGACTTAGGTGATGTTGACTATATTTAAAATAATAATCTCAATAGTTAATAATTCAATCATTTGTTTTACTTAGTAAAATTGATTGCTATTCTATTTTAAAATTATTTTTTCAGATGCGGTGTGAGTACTTTTCTTTGGATGCGATGGAGCGATGGATCATACGTAAGTAACATGTTTAACTATTGATTTGTTTAAATTCATTGTTTATTGGTTGCATGTTTGAAAGGGTGAGTATTAAAATGTAGGTTTTTTTTTAGATTCTCTCCGTCACAATGCCCATGGTGGTCGCATAAATGCCTAGGGTGGTTGTATCAATACCTACGGTTGTCACTTAAATGTCTACAGTAGTCACATCAATGCCTATGGTGGTAGCATCGAATTCGAGTCAACTCGGCCCCGGCCCCAAATCAACTCGGCCTCATGTCAACTCGACCCTAAGTCAACTCGGCCCCAAGTCAACTCGGTCCCATGTTAATTCGCCCCAAGTCAACTCGGCCCCAAGTAGTCAACTCTGCCCCAATTTACTGTGAAATTTACTAAATAATTACCAAAATATATTTGAATGCAAAGCCAAAATTAAAGTGTTTTAAACCATTATAAATATTTCAGTGCCGGCCTTTAAATAGAGGGATTCCAAAGCTGCTGAAGGCTGCTAAAACCCAAGTCCCAAAAGTGGTCTTTAATTGAGGGGAGACCTATACTCAGTAAATTATATATTTATTTTTCCCCCTTGACCCCACCTGGGTAGGTTTTTTCTTTGATTGCACCGGGCATTCTTGGCAGCTTCACACCTAAGGGCCTGTCATTAAATCTTACACTGGGACCCATCATCACCTAGCTACGCTGCTGTTCCAAGGAGCAAGTTTATGCTATATTTAAGCTTGTCATTTCTCAAGATAATTTATAATTTTTCTAATGAATTCACCCACTGCAAAATTATATGTCCATTTTTTCCATGCAGTTTGTATGGTTTGGTGTTTTAAATTTGGTATTTTTGTTCTTGATCTGGTTTCATTATCCAGTGGGTTTCATGGTGTGTCCTAACTTACTGAACCAGCCAAGAGCAGTGAATCTGTGGAAGCCTGCATTACAAGGAGGTTACTGCATTACCCTCTTCCGTGATGAAGTTCTCACGTTCCATAAATACATTGAGGTCTTTTTCGATTCTATCAAGGGGTAAATATTTCAGTGTCATAAAATTATTTTATTTTTTATTTTATTTTTTTAAATTTCATTTCATAATTGCCATTATATTGGAACATAATTTGTTCTATGTTTGTGTCATTTTAGTCCATAGTTTACTTTAAGTTTAAGTTTATTCAATTCACATAGCAGTTTATCTTATTAATATGTACACTATGGCTTCGAACGAACAAGACGTGCTTAGCACCGGCTCTCTGATTTTCCTGGTAGAAATCGATCCTAAAGTTAAAAAACTTATAGTGAACCTCAAGGATACACCATCTATTCCTGTCAAGGCAAATCTGAGCAGTGAATTCACTATTGATGAGTTATTACAAGCCAGGAAAACTATATTTGAGGCTGCCAGAGATAAGTACCATGACGATATTCAACATGGCGTCGGGATTGAGACGGACACCACCGGGACATTGAATGGTCCTACAATGAAAATATTAAGTACATTTTCCACTTGTAACTTGTAACTTGTCACGTAGATCAGTGGATATTGCTGCTGATGACATTAAAGAGCTCTGTCTTTATCTGTTTGGTCATCGGAAAAGTTTTCCAAAGTCTTGCTTGAGCTCTGCAAGTCAGCCCAATCCCAAGCCAGTTAAACAAGCTACCACTGCTACCCAAATAGGTATCGACGCCATTATACCCGAACCCGTTACAGAACCAATTCTGTCGACCATACTCAAGGTCATATTAGCGGTACAATCTGATATCAAATCACTTGATCGCAAACTTTCAGAACAAATTTCAAATATTAGTGAACAAATTTCTGTTCATTTATATGAAAAAGAAAAAAATGATAAAATTGACAAACTAGGAAAGGAATATGATGCGCCCCATTCTACTATTGATATGCTAATGAGGTGTTCTTCTCAAAGTGAAGAAGG